GATTCAGAAAATTTTCAGAGGGGTGTCCTCTTCAAAAATTAAATTTAATTAAATAATAAATTAAATAATTCATATTTTAAAAATATCATACTTGTATAATTTTTAATTATTAAAATTCATGATGTGTTTTCATATTTTGAAAAAATAATATAAAATAAACTTCGTGTCTGCACTGTTCAAAAAAAATCTACATATCCTACTAGACAATACTTCACGAACTTATCACATATTCGATTTCTAACCTTGTTCTTAATGTAGCTCAAAGTAGAAAAGACTCTTTCAACACTTGCCGTGTAACCATAAAATCAATTCAAAATTAAGGATATAGCGTGTAGTTAGTTTAATTATTAGGTATTGAAAATAGTTGGGGATAAAGAAATGAGCACTTCTACTATGCTATATAGTATTGGTGCTTTAATGTACAATTTAAAGTTGTACCATAACATTAAATGTATAAGTTTAGGTTGTACCATAAAGCAATTTGTACCCTTATATTATGGTACAACTTTACAACTTGAAGTTGTACCATCACATAAAGGTACAAGTTCAAGTTGTACCATAAAAGAATTTGTACAAAAAGTATAGGTACAATCTGAAGTAACTGAAGTTGTACCATAACGTAAATGTACAATTTTAAGTTGTACCATAAAGGCAAAAACCTATAGCACCAATACTATATAGCATTGTAAAATTTCTCTAAAGAAATAGCATTTTACTGTTGCATGATGTATAAAATAGAATAACAAATGAGTAGCAACATAATTAGAATATGTTTGATAACAGTAGTATCCTATGTTGGAATAACACGAACTACCACTTATATTTTGTTAATCATAAGCAAACTATTATCGAGGGTAGGATAATCATTTTTTCAAATGTTAGAGTGTCCCGGAGTACCAATTATATTTTGTATACCCATACGAAACTAATACCGGAGGTTGGATAATCGTTTTCCCAAATTTTAGGGGTGTCCCGGGACACCCCTAGAGGTCATGTATCCGCCCCTGCAATGTGGTGTGGGGTAGAATTAGCACCAGTCCACCTTCATCTTGTCTCTCATCTGATGCCATTTCTTGTGTCGAATTCAAGGTGAGCTTCATACAAACTCATTCGTGATTCAAGGTGACCTCCTGCTCGCAAGTATGTTGTCATTGACCCTGACTTCCAAAGCCATCAGCCATAAAAGAAGAGCAGATGCCGTCCCTTGTATAAATCCCTGAAATTGATGTAACAATGTCTAATTAACACTTCTAACAAATGATTTGAACTAATTTCATAAAATTAAGGACAAGTAATTGCCTATGGAAAACAAAGTCTATAGAACGTATGAGCCACTAATTATTAACCATACTCAATTCACCTCTTCCAAAATAGATAAAAGTTTACATCTAAAGAGGTTTCTTCCATCTTTACCATATTCCAAGTAGCAACCTGGTGGAGAATAGATGTATGGAATTGAAAACTGGGAGTCTGGGACTGTCAATTATTAACAATGATGGATGGAAGGAAAACACTAATTAGAACCAACGAGGCATGTCAAACATAATTAGATAAGTAGAACAAATAAACTTTTACCTCCTCTGCTCTTGGGGCACCCAGTAAATCTTTTCAAGGTTCATCCAGAAAACAACTCCGTTTTCATCCCTAAACTTCAATTACACGCTGTTATGATTTCTCATCTCTATATACACCTGGGTTCACAAAAAATCCAGACCAAATACAAATAAAAGAGAGTACATAGAGAATAGCAAATGAAGAAACATAAGAGGCCTGAAGACAATGACGAAAGACATGGAATCGAAATTGACTAACTTGTCGTCTCTTCACATTTCCGCTCTCGTTATGCGATTGGCAAAGGGTGCGGAGGTTTAAGCGCTAACACAAAAATACACCCTAAGCCTTTTCGTTCCCAATAGAAAATAACCATACCCTTCCTTTTAATTGACGGAGAAATTTTTTCTGAAAACTCAAAACTTTTAACTTTCTTTATTTATCCCGCCTCCGTGAATTAGTTTGTGCAAGCTATCTTTTAAATTTTATTTTATTTTTCGTTTGCATTATAAAATGTTGTAACGACAGTTCTAGTTATTTTGAAATTGATATACGTGATTAATATTAAAATATTAATTAATAATAAGTATCAAATGGATACAGTATGTAACATTTTTTATTAAGTTTTGCCTAAAATATAAGAATATGTAACACAAGTTATTTTAGTGTACAAGTGTCGCATATTATACGAATATGTAACAAAAATTATTGTGCTCCTAATTTGTGTTGAAAAGAAATATATTAGGCCGCACAAAATGAAAGTGTTGTCTATATTTATTTTATGTGACACTTTTTCAAAGTGTTGCAGGATGAGTGTTGCGTAATGCCACTTTTCCCATAGTGCAATAGCGCGCAATCGACAATGCAGATCAACACGAACGAACACAATTTTATCTTGGTTCACTAACACAATGTGTGCTAGCTAATCCACGAGCAGGGGAGAACAAATTCCACTAATTTGAGGAGAGTACAGGTTAAAAACCAAATTTTAGGTTAAAAAAAAAACAAACAAACAAACTCAAACAAAATAGGCCCAAAACGCGAAACATAGCTCAAATCAAATTCAAGTTATATTCTAACAAATCTCCACCTTAACTTGAATTCTGTCTCAAATACCAGATGTATCAGACACAACCAGACGTGATCCATATCGCCAAACTCAAATGCGCGATGCAAATCGTCAAACTAAAATGAAACAAAAATTGCTAGAAGCACTAGACTCTCCAAATCTTCAAATGTACCAAAATTTCCCCTGCCTCCAAATACCCCTAAGGGCAGTCAATAAACCAAAACATTCGGAAAGTCCAACCCATGTTGAGACTTGTCATTCAGAACTAGCTTGGTGCACTTATCACCGACAAAACATGTCAAGACAGAACCTTGTAGACTATACAAGGCACCAACCTTAACACCTTCCAGAATCACTTTAGAACCTTTGTAGGCATACAACACTCCACCTTCACCTTTGAAACTCAAACCCTTGCTGTCTAGTAGACTGAAAGTTAACAGATACTTAGTTATTTCTGGAATATGTTTAACACTGTTCAAGTTGCAAACAAAACCATTATGTGTCCTTACCCTGATGGGGCCTTTTCCAACAATCTTGCAGATAACACCATTGGCCATAGAAATATGTCCTCCATCTATCTGCACATAAGTTGAAAAACAATCTCTACTTGGACACATACGCTACAGGAAAAATGGCCTCTTGCAACTCACACCAATGTGTTACGTTATGCCTTAAAAGAGTTGCGAAAACCTATCGCAACACTTTTGGTAGGGTTGCTTTCATAACCGGGCTGCTCATTAGTACGATATTGTCCGCTTTGGGTCAAGCCCGCACGGTTTTACTCTTGGGTGTCCTCCCCAAAAGGCCTCGTACTAATGAGCTTGGTGGACACTAATATACAAGGGTTCCTTCCCTTGTATTTCCGATGTGGTACTTGGATTTTCCGTAACAATCCTCCCCTCAAGCCAAGGACCACAAACTTCGTGTTCTCACCTTAGCGATTATCTTGATCCGCCAGACACCTTATATCGATGGGCTTCTCGGTACAAGGATTTTTCCAAAACAAACGCGGACCTCCCTTGATCCGCCAAATGTGGATCTCTCGTGGTTCCACCAAACCAGACGCGAATCGCAAATCCCAAGGTCACCGAATGAGGGTCGACCGCCCCGGACCGAACCAGGCTCTGATACCACTTGTCAGAACAGAAGCGTGCAATCGATAATCCAGACCAACACGAACGAACACGAATTGAACGTGGTTCACTAACACAATGTGTGCTAGCTAATCCACGGGCAGGGGAGAACAAATTTCACTAATTTGAGGAGAGTACAGGTTACAAACCCAAATTTCGGAACGGACAAACCAAACAAACTAACCCGACTGACCTTACTACAGACAAGGTGATAAAGAGTATTTATTGAACTCTTCTCTTAATCCCAAACATAAAACCAAACATCTTTTCCCAAACACACAAGGAAAAGGTCAAACAAAGCCCAAACACAAACCCAAACACTTGTCATAACCGGGCTGCTCATTAGTACGATATTGTCCGCTTTGGGCCAAGCCCGCACGGTTTTACTCTTGGGTGTCCTCCCCAAAAGACCTCGTACTAATGAGCTTGGTGGACACTAATATACAAGGGTTCCTTCCCTTGTATTTCCGATGTGGTACTTGGATTGTCCGTAACAGTTGCATATAGTGAGGGATGCTAAAGGAATAGGCAACTGTTTTTTTCATTTTTCGCAACCCATATATAAAGGGTTGTGTATCTTTACCTCTTACACAACACCACTTTAGGCAACATATTTCACAAGTTTTGCAACACATTTTTGTAAAATGGACAACTGTTTTTATAACTTTTGACAAAAGTAAAATTTGTATATGTGACTAGGTTTTCGTTTGAGAGGGTGTATAAGGAAGTGTAAAATACCATACATGTCCCTCTCCCAACAACTCTAATTATTGAGATAAGTTGGTTAAGTTTATGACACGATGAGCAGCATCCAACGCATAGGGAATAAAATGAGAAAAGAATTGTATCATGAATCAATACACTTATACAGATGTGGCATCTATGTAGGCCGCGGTTGCCACAACTTTTTGCCACATCACAAAAATTTAATATTGTTTTGACCACCGTCTGGTCAATCGTCATCTCTACGATCATCAAAAGCATCGGGATTCAAAATAGCACATGAGTATTATGACATAATATGATTAAAATATTGAATAAAATAGGAAACAAGTGACATGCATTTCGACTATTGTAATGGTGCATTTTTATTTTTATTACACGGTTGAATCGCTCATCACCCATATCGTACATCACGAATATTTTTATTTTAATTAGCAGTCACATCGATCACAATAAAGAAACGTTTTGTTCTCAAACATATAAACACAAGTAATTAAGGAACTAACGATCGATCCAATCCGATATCATGCTTGAGCAGAAGCAGCGAAGAGAGGATGATTGTGATTGTGGCCGCCATCCACAATCAAGTTGAGCCCACTCACATACTTGGCATCGTCGCTCGCCAGATACAGCGCCGCCCTGGCAACATCCTCCGGCTCCAACACCGCCCCTCTCAGGTTCCCCGCCGCCGACATAAACTCCTCGGCGGCCCTCTTATCCATCTGCATGCCACGCGTCACCATGGGAGTGGCCACCCCGTAGGGCGAGACAGTGTTGACCCGAATCGCATACTTGCCCATCTCCACCGTCAGATTATTCGCCAGCCCCAGCATCGCGTGCTTCGACGCCTTGTACGCATACGACAGATCCCCGCTGATCGACGACGCCACGCTCCCGGTGAACAGGATGCAGCCTTTCCTCGCCGGGATCATCACCCTGGCGGCGTGCTTGGCCCCGAGGAAGGATCCGAACAGGTTGATTTCGAGAACCTTGTGGAAGTCGGCGTTGTCGGAGTTCAAGATGGTGGTGTCGAGGTTGCCCCCGATTCCGGCGTTGTTGTACATGATGTCTAGCTGTCCGTAACGTGACACCGCTGTGTCGACGGCGTTGGCCACGTCGGAGTCCACGGTGACGTTGCAGTGGACGAAGGAGACGGTCTCCGGCGGGCCGAGTTCCGTGGCGAGGGACTGGCCGAGTTTGTCTTGGAGGTCGGCGATGAGGACCTTGGCGCCGTGCTGGACAAACAGCCTGGCGGCGCTCTCGCCGATGCCGCTTGCTCCGCCGGTGATGAGGGCCACCTTGCCTTCTAGCCTGCAATATATAGAGTATACAAAATGGTCAGCGGGAAGCAATTGATATATTTATTTATATATAACTTGTAAACTTATAATCCATACGTACGATTTAATAACGGAGGGTGCACAGAAATCAGAGCCCATGTTGAGTAATTTCGTGGAGAAATTCGGAACGCGTGATGGAAATGAAGAAGAGAGAGAGAGAGTGATCGAAATTCGGAAGTGTAATTTCGTAGAGAAAGGATTGTGTGATTGTTTAGGTTTATGTGTTGGCTCTATTTATACAGGCAAAAGTTAAGCATGTGGCAGAGGCGGCTGCGTTTCATCCTTTGATATCGTCAAATTCTTTCAGAAGCGGCGTAAAAGTCAAGTCCGTCTATAGGATTTTTTTTCTTCAAACCTTTAACATTCTCTGGTGTTCGAGATATATATAGATAAGGACTATTATCATGTTGTTCAAGTAGAAAGTCTTTTCTTGTTCTTTAATGTTGCGACTTGAAAAAGGAAAGAAAACTAATATTAATCATCCCTTTTTGTTGAAAGATTCCCTATCTACGCGTACTAAACACCAATAGTTACTTCATGATGCGGTTCACCTTCTTAAGCCTTCAAATTTAAATAGTATTTTAAGTCATTCCTACTGTAACATGCATGTCATGGTGACTTGCACTTTTCGGTCGACCTCAATTAGGATTAGGTCGACCTAATCTGTTGTTTCAGTGTAAACTAATTTGTTCATACCTGATTGCTTTTGTAATGATAACATATTTGCTGTCTAGATTACTAGTGTATATGGGGGACATGTTACGGTGATTACTACAGAGTAGTAATTGCCATGGTTACTAGGGGTAAATTGGGTATGAAAAAATAAATTGTATTAATTAATTTTTTTAATAAATTTCATTTTAGGTAGTTACAAAAATCAATACCATTGCAGAAGAAAAAACAAGAAACCAATACCAAAACGTTACCAACTACCACTACAGCCTACACGAAACACTACCACTACCACTTATCAACAACTACCATTGCAGATTACAACAATACTATTACATGATAATCAATATGCGAAAAAAGAATACCAATACAATAAAACACTACCATTACAAAAAAAAAAAAAAACACTACCAATACAAAAAAGTAAATACCAATAAAAAACCAGACGTCGTCTTCTCTAGTCGAGTTCCCCATACGAAAAAAATTACCTAAGCCACCCAATACTCCGAGACCGACTATGAGCAAAATCAATCTCTCCGACGAGACCAGAGGAAGCGAGCTTCTTCACTTCGTCGCTCTTGGCACCTTACCGAAAATTGGAGCCAAATGAATTGACCTCAGCAGAAATAAAGATATCCCGTCTGCAAACTGAATTTAACGAAAAGGGAAAGAGGGAATAATTTCATGGAAATTGGGGACCACGGCGGTGGAGAGAATCTCCGGTGGTGCGACGAGCGGAATGGAAACTGAAACGGTTGGGTCGCAGAATTGGGATGAATTATTTAGGTTTTATGGACAATATTTAGAAAGTAACGATAGTAATCAGATGTGGTTATTTAATTTTTGCCCAAACTAACCCTAATCAATCATGACCATCCGTTTAAAAATAGTGAAAATGGAAGGTAGAGATATTAGTAGCCACGATGGCTACTAAAAAATCAGTCATCATCCTAACTCATCCCGTGTATATGGTGCGAACTAAGAACACATAACATAAGACTGTTCTCCCTAAAAACAAATATGGAAGCAAGCAGTTAGAAGCTGAGAAAAATAGCGAGGATAGGTTGACAGTGATGGAAATGGGGCGGGGCGGGGCAGCTATCTCAATATTCATGTCTCGCCCTACGAACTACGGATCGGGGCGGGTAAAATCCGTGCGGGTACTGGGTAAGGCGACCCATTATTACATGTTATTTGAAAAAAATACACACAAATTTTACTATTTATGATAAACCAAAGGGGAGAACAATTTATGAATGAAAAATAGTGATCATAAATGGGTAATTGAGTCTAACAAGTTGAAAGATCGACTTTTATTAGTTGAAGAATGGGTAAAACCTGCCCCCATCACGGATCAGGTCGATAATACCCGCTGGGCGGGTTCAAATTGCCATCATTAGGTTGAATCACAGATACAATATGTTACAGGTTTAGAAGATGATGAAAAATGAGTGTTGTGCTTTTGTGATAATTGAGAATGAAAATGTAAAGCCCACATCAATTGATCGCAAAATACCAATACTGACATTTTACGTAAGAGGTAATGATTGGCTATTTATGAACATGACGCGAAAATGTGAATTATTAATAAAGATATTGTAAATCAATGACAATGTTATTCAACCATAAATAATGCTGTGACATTATTTTAATAATTCATTCATAAGCGTTGATGTAAAAAATGTAAACTAACAATTGATCTTAGGTCATTAATCATTTAATCATAAAGCATTAATAAGTATATCCAAATTGATAATAACGATGGAGTATATAAATAATAATTTATTTCATAAATGTTGATCATGTTATTTCAAAATGTTAATAATGCCATTGCAAGTGGCCACAAAGAGAGATGTTTATCTTCCTAAAGGCTACTAAACACACGTTTGAACAATATTAGCATTTTAAATGAATTTTTAATACCGAACATTAACAAATTTTGTGAAAGTAATTATCAACTATTAATTTTAAATTTTTTAATATTAATATTAAATTTTCATTTCAAAATTTAAATATGAATAAATATTGAATTATAGTAGCTTAATTTTCTTCTGATGGTTAGACCTTTCCTTTCGGCAGGAGATAGGGTCAGTAACCACTTGGTTACTGACAGGTCAGTAATAAATAGTGACTGTAGATCTAGGAGGCAGACAATCGTATGGTTGGGCCGGATGCTAAGTGGAGAAGGGTATTTTTGTCCGTTTATATATTAAATTCTTTATTTTTATTTTATTTCGTATTAAATGGCTGCATTTTCAAAAAAGGAAAGAGAAACCATTATTTCTCTGCAACTCTCATTTACCTTTCTCTCTTCCTTCTCTCTTGCTTTTTCTCTTCCACTCTCTTTTCCAGATCCTCTCTCTTCCTTTTTTCCTCTTAATCTCCTTTTGAGATCTAAATCTGCTCCCTTCTCTTCTTCTTTATTTTTTTTCTCCAGGACGAATAAAATTTGCAGCCACTCTCTTTCATTGCATTTCTTCTCTTCATCATCTCGTTGGCCTCAATTTTGATATCTCTCATTTTTCGGCATTTTGGTGTTCTTGATTGCGAAAGAGGAAATGAGAGGCGACAGAAGACGATTTTTTTCTCTACCTCCTTCTGTTTTTTTTTTCTTTTAGATAATATATATTGATATTATAACTCTATACCATATGGTATTCGGTGGTAACGAAATATATATTGATATTACCACACTATACCATATGGTAATGTATGGTATTGTGTGGTAACGAATTATATATTGGTATTACCACACTATACCATATGGCATTGTATGGTATTGTGTGATATTACCACACTATACCATATGGTATTATGTGGTAACGAAATATATATATTGATATTACCACACTATACCACATGGTATTGGGTGGTAACGAAATATATATTGATATTACCACACTATACCATATGGTATTGGGTGGTAACGAAATAAATATTGATATTACCACACTATACCATATGGTATTGGGTGGTAACGAAATATATATTGGTATTACCACACTATACCATATGGTATTGGGTGGTAACTGGTAACGTAATATATATTGATGTGGCAAATTTTTTCACACCATATGGTATGATTTTATTTTATACCAGTCAATACCATATGGTATGACTGGTAATAACTGACAAAATTTTTTATGTCCAAAAAATATCAAAGTGGATATCATTTTGAAGAGCACAATTAATCTGATTTAACTGTGCAAAAAAATTAAATTCCGACTTAAAACGAGTGAGAAATCGTCTGTTAAAGATTAAGAGAAGAAATTTTAAAGATTTTTCGAGGAGAGAGAAGGCGCTGATGTGGTCTGGTCAATCAGCGTTGGCAATAAATAGGGGCAGGGGCAATTTTACTTTACTGTCCTTTCACATTTAATTTAAATAAAAAAAGGAACTGACACATGGAAACAAGTGAAGGGGTTACTGATGGGTTACTGACCCATCAGTTACTGATGTGATCTGGTCCCTTTCCTTTCTCTCTATTTTTTTCCCTTCTTTCTATTATCGGTAAATAAAATTAACAAATTTGTTATATTTTTTTACATAAATACGGGATATACGGCATAAAAGTCAGCATTCCCTGGGAGATATTAGTATGTCTTAGGAGGTGATGTCTTCGTTGACACTCAAAACCTTGCATAAATTAAGATTCTCTTCCTGTTATATATTTTAAAGCTTGTTGTATTGGAATTCAACCCGAACAGCATTAATTTTATACATCATACAACAATAATCCAGACTATAAATTGGCCGAATCGTCATAGCTTGACGGCCTTGACCAACGGGGCCGGAGAGGGAGAATTAACGAATGGAAGCCTTCCTGGCCCCGAACTACATGGCAAAATGTCAACACGTCCCTCACGGCCTCAATCCTTTTACATATTGCGGAATCAAAAACTGGCCGTTGACAAAATTTTGGAGATGCGAAAAAAATGTTTCCGACGGCGACGCACGGGGTCGGGTGCCACGGTCCGATACAACGTCTTAATTCCTCTATTATTCAGAAAGTCGTCCATCGCATTCGCATGCCCTACTTCTACTATTGTCAT